GCCAAAAAAAAAAAAAAAAAAAAAAAGCTCATCTCTGCATGGCGGGCAACCACTTTCGTAAGCGGTTAACAGGAATGTTCGGGTTCGCCCTTTTTTTTTTGCCTTTTTTTTAACAGTGCTGGAAACCGGGCCCACCTCCCTTACAAAGTCAAGGCAACCCCTTCGAAATGATCAGGGCTCGTCGGCCTTTTGGCTAAAAATAGATAAAGTGTAGTATCTGTTCTGATCAGTTTAATATCTGATCCGTGGTCCATCGGACCATCAAAAAAAAAAAAAAAAAGTTCACACCAGCGTTGCAGCAAAGCAAGTACCAAAACCAAAGTGTTTGCAAAAACACCCAGAGCAACCTACTTTTGAAGGGAAACCAAAGTCCTAAACAGCAAACTGATAATGGTTTCTCCTACCAAGATTCAGTCAACAAGAAAGTGAACCAAACGAGAAGGAAACAGGGCTATAATACAGAAAGAAACTCAAAAAGTGCTGGAAGCAAAAGACAGAAAACGGCACTATATTACAAAACAAAAAGGACCTTGGAAATCGCAATTCCGGCGTCGAAGCATCAGTCTGCACGACAGAAATCAAAGCCCGTAACAAGTACCCGTGTCCTATGAATGTCTTAACGTCCTTACATAAACCGCTCTTCTGAATTTGCAGACACTAATCTGTGTATAAGAACTACTTAGTACAGTACTTGGTTTCAGCTCTGACAATCAGTGGTGACAAACTGCGCGCCGCATGAACTGCAGAGTTGCGGACTGTCCATAGTGTCCAGAGGATTGCCCCACATAACATTTCTTCTGCATAGGAGGAGGAGAGAAGGCGGCGCTGAACATCACACACAGGCGGAATCGCTGCAAAACATGCATACAGAGCTAAACATCACACACGGGGCAAAACATGCAGCATGTAGCACAACCAAATAACGCAGGACTCGGAAGTGATGCACAGCGAGCAAGGCTCTGGCTGTACAGAACAGCGCAGCAGTCATCAGCACAGGACATCAAGACACATCTAGATGTGTATAAGAGACAGCATCAATTCTGGCCTCCTAATCCTAGAACAACTCCCCCCCCTTCATACACATTTTCCAGCTGCGATCCACCTGTGGACTTCAGAAGTTGGTGGCCCAGGAAACGGAAAGTCTCCACCCTGGGGCCCCCTGGAAAAAAAGAAGTTCTGGTCCCGGAAAAAAAGAGCGGCACCAGCGGCAAATCAAAATTTGCGAACCACCTTGAAAAAATGTGTCAGCCTCTACCGGTTGCAGCAGGACCACAGCCAAACAACCGGGTATTGGCTCCCAAAACAACGGCGATCAAACCTAACCACAGCAGGTGGCAAGCTTCACTCCCCAATTTGAAATTTCAAACTTGTGGAGCGCTTCGGATTTTTGTGCAGTCGTCCAAGGACGGCGAAAGGTGGAGATGCTTCGGATTTCCGCGCCGTCATCGAAGGATGTCATGCGACTATGGTGTGTGTAAATGTTCGAAGGGACTGAGACAATGGGGAACAGGTGGGTGCAGGTG